TGCATGGAGCACTGGGTGTTATACGAAAACAATGGATCGTGGATCACTACATCAAAAACTAATGATGTATTGTATAGTGACTAACATAACATAATTAAAAAAAAAAAGGAAATATGATGTATTCATAGAAGGCACCCAACAAATGCTTGGACCTTCATATTATACCGCTCCCCCCCAGCTTCTCTCCTTTCTTCCTCTCTTTCCTAACTAACCACTTTATTGAACACCTTTATGCTAATCATTCTGCTTGGCACTGGTGACAGGAAGAGGAAGACAATCCTGCCCTAAATGACCTTACAGCCTTAATTAGAGCAAAGGGAATGAAGTCTTGGTTCCCCCACTTACAGACTGTGGGAGCTGAGAAAAATGACATCCCACTCCTGTTTATTCATTGTATACCAGAGTAGGGCTGCACAAAATAAATGAGACAAATGATAGAAATTATTCAATATTTTTAAAAACACCCATCCAAATAGTTATCATGGAGAAATCCAAATTTTGTTGGACTTCCAGACTATTACTTAGCAGTTATATATTATTTTACTTTGGATTAGCTAGGAGGGACAGAATTAGGGGGAAGGATAGGACCTTCTTAGTGTTAGGGCTCCTAAAGTGTTTCATCTGGCCTGTGATTGGGCATAATAAGGTTTTTGGAGGTTAGACTAAAGAGAACATATGTTAAAGCACCTGATGCACAGTGAGTTGGTGCCCAGTAAAAGCTTATGCATAAAGTGAAATAAATCCTTCTATTGCTTCCTCTTATTCCCCAGCATTTTTCATTCATTTTTTTACTCACATATGGCTGGGAGCTCTGAATAAACGTTGCAATAAGCTCTTAAGTTTTTTAAAACAACATCTGTAGGCACGTGGTATTCTGGCTGGAGTTTTCTGTGAGCTCAGCGAACAGCAGAGTCAGAGATCAAGAATTGTTTATTGCCCTTTCTTTGTGAGGGTTACTGAGAAGCCAAGGCCAAGTTATCAGCTTTGAAACCACACACGTGGTGCCTGACAGAATGCTGGGATTACCCTATGTTCCCCACGTGGACACACTTTATCTCTGGGTATGAGGAACACAGATCTTTCAGTCACTGACAGAAATTGCCAAAAAGAGATTTGAATTGTACATGTGTCACTTGCCTCTTGAGGTGCATTGATCACACCAATGTCATATCCAAACTGGAAGGAACCCAGTGCAGCAGTGAAGACAGTGAAAACCAAGGTCCCGGTGATCTGTGGGGAATGAAACACAGGGCTGCGAAACACAAGGCAATTTCAGTTACCTACCATCGTGTCAGTGTGCAGCTTGGACTTCTGACAGTCTCAACAGGCTGGTTCTTGCTCCTTGGTACTCATTCACAGTGTGCCCTATGCTCCCAACAGGCCTCATTCATACGAGAATGCAAGAGCCATTCATCAAAGGCCCTACACTGCTAAAGCTGAGAAAAGTTTGGGACAATTTCTTCCAAGAGAGGAACCAAACATCCTTTTCCATACATATATTTAAGATTCAAAATCAGGTTTGAAGACTAGAATTGCTGCTGACCAAAGGAAACCACTGTGATAAAAACAGTCAATTTATATCATTTGGAGAGGTAAAAAAGACACCAGTAACAAAAATATAGGGAGGTCTCCTGGGCATTGTTATGGTACAAAAACACCTCAAAACTCATACAAGAAGCATCAGCCAGGCTTTATCATGACCACATCAATATCCAGGTAAGGATAATTTCTAAGATTTGCAACTAGTTGAATCTAGAGTTATGGATTGAAGGATGTTATTTTCTTTCCAACTCCATGTAGCTACAAAACTCAGTGTAGAAAGGGACAGAACATTCATTCCCTTCAACTCATAGTTACATGTCTAACCATCTTAGAGAAATCATATCATACGTATAGAATCTCATATCAGGATATTTGATGCAGCATTGTGTGTGTGTGTGATAGCAAAAATTGTAGAAAGAACCAGAATGTCATTCAATGGAAAATGGCCAGATAGATTCAAATACATCATGACACATACAACTATGCTGTGCTGCAGCTAGAGTAATGTGATCATTTTGTACTGACTTACTGTTAAGTGATAAAGGAAGCTGTGTAATCTCATTAATTTTTTAAAAGGCTTAAACTTGAGCATTCTTTGATTTGTGTATGTTGTATGTAAGTCACAGAATATTTTCTTGAAGAACAGATAACAAAAGGATGACCATTGAGGAAGAATGTGAGAGTAGAGAAGGGGGATAAACGAGTATTTTTTCTTTTATTTATATTATCAGACATTTTATAAGGGAATGATTTCCTGTATAATTACATAATTTAAATGTTTAAATAAATAACATGGGATATTGTAGAAGCTTCACTGAACAAATGAATGAGTATTATCAACATGAATTCTAGTTCCCACTCTCATGTTTAGGGAGCATATGACCCAAACCACTTTTCCTATAGGATCTTCAGTTTTTCTCTAAGTAGGGGGATGATTGTAAATCCCTACTCCAGCATGAAAAGTAGCTTATTAACCCAAGTCCTCTCATTCCCTAATAAAGCCAGAGATTAGAAATTTCAGTGTCATCATCAACAAAGTATTATCACAGAACCAGCCTGAGAGCCTTGAAGTTACGGAATCTAGGGGTTCTAAAACCAGACACTCATTGGAGAGCTTGTTATAGGTGTAGCTTCCTGGGATTCACCCCAGACCTACTATTGGATTGGAATCTCTGTGGTGAGAATTGGGAATCTGTAGGTTTGTTCTCTTTCCACTAATTCAGAATTAATTTCAGGTGGCACCTCTGTAGGCTTTTCTTCCCAGCAACTTCCTTCCTGAAAGGACTTAAAACTTTCTCCAAAGATATGATAATATATTATCCTAAAAGAAGCATATATATCCTGTATCTATATATATCCTGAAAGAAGCATATATATATATAATATAATATACATTATATATATTGAGATATAAATCATATATGCATATACATAATAAAATAATTACAAATAAATTCAAAGTATGTTAACTGTAAAATATACCTGTGTGCACAGGTTTGTGTGTGTGTGCACATACACACACAAATATGCTACATGGTATGGGATTGCCAGAGATTTTGAATTATCCTTTAATATGTAACTAGATATCTAATACCTAGTGCCTCAGGCAACCAAAGCTAAAATGGGTTCCATTTACTTGCTGGTTTCTCCTCAAATCCTTTTTATCCTTCAGCTGTTTCCAGGGACAGAAAATTTTATCCTTTCATTTTATTTGTAGTAAGTAACCATCATCAGCTGTGAGGGGACCAGAGGGCACCTTGACAAGGCTTCCACCTACTTCCCTGATAGTCTCCGTCACTACAATCTAGACAATTTGATATTAGGTGCAATGCAAACACAACTTCAAGGCCTAATCCTGAATATTTCTGCCTACTGCATGCCTATCTTTTGCTCTATGTGATTGTCTCTTTTAACTGTATCGGTTTTCTCTTGCAGCTAAAACAGATAACACAAGTTTGTTATCTTACAGTTCTTGTACATCAGAAGTCTGGTACGACTAAAATTAAGATGTTGGCAGGCTGTGTTCCTTTCTGAAGGCTGTTGGGGAAAATTTGGGTTGATGGTAGAATTCTGTACCTCATGGCTGTAGGACCAGGATCTGTGTTTTTGTGCTGGCTGTAAAGTGAGGGCCATTCCCAGCTTTAGAGGCCACCACATTCCTTGGTTAGTGGTGTCCTTTATCTTCACAGCCAGAAATGGGCTGGTCAGGTCCTCACTTTGCATCTCTCTGATCCTGACTATAGCCAGAAAAGTTCTTCCCATTGAAGAATTTATGAGATTAGATTTGGCCTATCTGGATAATCCAGGTTAATCTTCCTATCTCAAGGTCCATAATCTTAATGACATTTGTAAAGTCCTTTTTGCCTTTTAGGGTAACATATTTACACATCCTGGAGACCAAGTAATGGACACTTCTCATGACAGCACTATAACCCTATTTTATAGATAACTAGACTAGGTTACAGTCTCACAGTCAGTAACTTGTGCAATAATGACTTAGATCCAGACCCTATGCTTTTAACTAATTGGTTATTTTGAATTTCTCATTGGTCAGAAACAGACATTCAAAAGTCAAGCACATCTAAAAATCTAGGATCATAATCTTTCTAAATAAAAAAAAAAATCTAAGAGCACACATATTCGTAGAATTTGCCAAGTGTGATGCTGAAGCCAACTCACCAACACCCACCAGTTTCAAGTGCATTTTCCCACTACCCACCACACAAATCCCCTCCTTCTTCATCTATCCACAGAAAATTTTTGTGACATTTCTGTACAAAAATACTAAAGGGAAAAAACTACTCAACTGCTCCTCTGTAGCTCAGCTGAAGAAGAACCTCATGGCCTTCCCACCACCAAGCCCAGGGCCAGTTGCATCCCTGCATCTCCTTTTCTTCCTGTAGCAGAATGTCCAAGCACTTGGTGTCTTTTTTTTTTTTTAAAGATTTTATTTATTTATTTGAGAGAGAGAGAATGAGAGACAGAGATCATGAGAGAGAGGAGGGTCAGAGGGAGAAGCAGACTCCCTGCCGAGCAGGGAGCCCGATGCGGGACTCGATCCAGTGACTCCAGGATCATGACCTGAGCCGAAGGCAGTCGCTTAACCAACTGAGCCACCCAGGCGCCCCAAGCACTTGGTGTCTTAGTGACTGCCCTTCCCACTCCATCCCTGGGCTTCCGCTCTCTACTGGCTCTCTTCTCCTGCCCCCACCAGACAATCATATAGTTCCTTTCTTCTTATTTTAACAACCCAACTAGTCACCATGCCAATGGTGAGCAGGGGCGCTATGGAAATGGAAGTTAGGGGTGAAGGTGGTGGCCGTAGCAGATTTGGTTCCCCATAATCTCCATCGGCTCTCCTCTGCCACTCCAAATACACACTCTAAGTCACAACAGTGTTAGCTGCTCCACATTACTTTGATAAAAATGAAATTTAATTTTCAAAGACTTAAGTTCTCTGGAGCTCCTGTCTCATTACTTTCTAATCAAATTGTTCTAAGTCATTACTATAGCAATTCTGGGGCTGCCCCTAAGACCAATTTCTCATGTTATAGGAGTAACAGAAAAAAGGAACTGTAAAGGAAATAGAATTTTTAGACATCTAGAAATCTTAGAGTGTCCTTAAAGTCCTTGTCCTCTGGTCTTCCTGGCTTCTTTTTTCAGAGTTGGCTTTGGTCTTGCCATCTTGCGGGAGCAGGGCTGCAGTTTCCCCACTTTAACTTCCTAAGATAGGAATTTTACCTAGTCGGTCAGGTAAGGAACAATGTTATCAATTTTAAGAAGGTCACTTGAATTCCCAACTAAAGTGATAATCCCAAATACAGAAGTCTCTGAAACTTTGATTCCTTCCTTCCTTCCTTCTTTTTCTCTTTCTTTCTTTTACTTTTAGGTTTAATTTCCCTCTCTGAACCTTACCTTAAACTGGCTCTTTGCTTTCCATCTTTTCTTTTTCTGTAGTGAAATGAAAGAGATAACATTTATATTCAATCTTCTATATATTTTGGTACTAGGCTTGGACAGAAAAGTTTTGTTTATGAGAAGGGAAATTTCTGAAGACTGTTAAGTCTGAATTAGCCCATCAATCCTATCCATTAATCTAGTGTCCAAGAGGTTGACTGAGGGTAGGTACATAGGAGCTAATGAAAACAGTGAGAACTTAGGATCTTACTTTGTCCAGGCTCTGTTCTTTCAACAACTCTGTAGGTAGTAATTATTATTATCATGTCACATGTGGAAAAACCAGTACACAAAGGTAAGGAACTTGTCCAAAGCCATATACCTACAAAGTGGCTGAAGATCTTCAAGCTTTGTCTCTCACCTCTTCATAGGCAACAAGATATTAACCCTGACTCTTAAAAAGACTACCCCCACTTAGAGCTTAACAATTTTAAGTTAGAGAAACCAGGTTCCACATCCAATGAAAGATATGCCACAGGATAAATGTGGGAGTACACAGAATGGGCAAGTGGCTGAACCCTAACATAAAACAAAATGTGGTATTTATTTTGTGGCTTAGAAATTAGATAGGGTTTGTTAGAAAAAACAAATAGACTTGGAATTCAGAAAACCTAGAAGACTACCAGCTAGGCCCTTAATATCCCTGAATCTGCTTCTTTGCCAAAAAATGGATATCATAAAGATTAAATAAGATACTAATGTGGTCTTCCTATAAATAATGAAAGGGCTATAAAACAATTACATCTTTAATCACATTAGCACATCATTTATCTCTCTTGTCCACCAACCACCTGTCAGCTTTTCATATGTCACCAATAATCTTCACAACAATACTACAAAGTAAAAGAAATTATCCCCATTTTACAGGTGAGGAAACCAGGGCTTATAGAAGATTAAGTGATATGCTCAATACCATGCAGCTAGTAAGTAACAGATATTCTAGCATTTGAACCCAGAGCTGGTGTTCTTAAACTCCCATTTCTAAGCAAAAAAGCAGATTTTCAGCAGCTACAGACTGACTGGTAGGGAGGAGAAGCTGATGTCTTTCCTCTAAACTGCATGGCTCCAAATGCCAACCTAAAGGTGATCTTGCACCCAACTTTGGAAAACTCCAGGGGCCTCTCAAGCCATAGAATTTTCATGTTGAAAGGGACCTTAGAGAACAGAGGATTCTAATCTAAGTTCTTCATTTTCCACTTGAAGAAACTGAATTCAGGTCCTTTGTCTGAGTTAGACAGTACATTATTGGGTATATTCAGTGTGAGAACTCAGGTCTCCTAACCCTCAGTTCCATGCTTATCCCACTTCTTTCAAAGTCTGGGCAGATTTACAAAGCTGAAACATCGTGCTTTACATCAGTTCTCATTATTTCTGGGTTCCATTATTAAGCAATTCCTTGGTTCTCAAGAAAAGTCCTACAACAATTTCTAAAGGGAATTTAGTGATAGTTCAAAATGAAGCTTGAGCATTTACTATGTGTCAGACACTGTGGTAAGTATATTACCTTCCCTTTTGCAGTCTCTTACAAACTTTAGTTATTTGAACACTACCTTTATTATTTTTGCCAAATCTACATACTATCTGTATAGTTATTAACTTAATATTTGTCTTTATATCACCTTTAAAATGCTAACTACTTTAGCTTTATCCTGGGCTATAATAGGAAATCATGAAGTCCTAGTTATTTTTAAAATACATCATGCAAATGCATGATTATTAACATTAAAATATTTGTCATCTGTCTCTCAAATACTAGCTCATTTAAATACTCCCAGTCTATAAAGAACTATTAGAATCCCTGTATATCTTATATCCTCTTATTATATCCCAATATGTTCTTATTTTGTCACAATATAGAAAACCCAAGCTCAGGTAAATAACTTAACTTTGGTCTCACAGCAGGTAAGTAGCATCATCACACTCCAAATCCAAGCCTGGCTAACCTCCAAGTCTGTGCTCCTAGCCTTGTCACTTACTCACATGAAGAAATGCTCAGCAGAGTAAGTTACAACAGGCCAGAACTTTAGATATCCTACTCTAAGAGGGCTACAGATTTACCTACTTGTGTGATTGTGTGAAGGGGGGGTGTGTTTGGTTGGGGAAAACTTGTAAGAGAACGACAGCACTATGACCTTTTTAAGTTTTTATTTTGGGAAGTATCATATCTATAGAGAAGTTGAAAAAATAAGGCAGTGAACATCCCATAACCTGTGTTCAGGAATGGTTAACATTTACATTTGTTTAACTTTCACTGTGTATGTGTGTGCATGCACAGGTATGTATGTAGTGTGGTTGGAATCATTTGAAAATCAGTTGCAGATATTAGTGTCACTTCATTCCTAAATACTTTAGCATGTACTCACTAAGAATGAAGACGTTCTCCTACATAATTACAATACCATCATCATATCCAAGAATGTAATAGATATACTAATATTATCTAATATAACAGCCCATTTTCGAAATTTCCCCAACTGTCCCCATATTGTCCCTTACAGCTGTTTTCTTCTTTCCAGGATCTAAGATCACTTGCTGCACTTGGTTGTCAGTTCTTAGTCTCCTTTTATCTAGAACAGTCCTTCTGCTTCTTGTTTTTCATTCATTGTCATTTTTGAAAATTTCTGACCAATTTTCATGATTAGTTAGATTCAGGTTAATCTACCCTTTTTTTGCACATTCCTTCGGTAATATGGTTATGCAGAATCACTTGAGAAAGTTACACAGACTGCTCAGAAAACAGAGCAAATATCCTTAAAATTCTGAATAGATATATAAAATACTGAATATGATACATATTTTTGCAGCTAAATGAACTATCAGTTGGCCAAGAGAAGTAGCTTCAATCTGTGGTAGCTACACCCAACATCCCCCAAATCCTCCCTATGGTCACCAACTTGAACAAATCCCCCTATTCATTTCCTCAAGCTGATTTAAAATGAACATAATGCTACTTTACCTTATCTTCTGTCATTTTATCGGTTGAGAGTCCTCCTCGTAATTCCAAGTCCTGTGGTGAGTGTGGCACATGCAGCTGGCCAGCCTTTCTCCAGCTTTCTACTAGTTATACATTAGAGGAGGAGGAGCAAGGCAATGAAGCAGCCTGGCCATTACCTTTAAAATCTGATTTCAGCAGAGGCTGAATATGGAGGAGAATCTAATCAATAAATGCTTTGCCTTAATGACTTGTGGCTTCAAACTTGTGCACCAGCAAAAGAAAATGGGAGCAGGTCCCTCAGGCATAAGTCACAAACCAGAGGTGGTCACACTTTAACACGTTAAGTACACCAGTAACCAGGAACAGGTGAAAAAAGAATTCTTTGGGGTCTTCTGTAGAAGATGAGATGCTGGGTTGACGTTTCATGTTGTGGGGATGACAAAGACGAGGGACATGGGAGGCATGCTGCAGTCTGCTCTACAGAGAACCAGAACTGTGTTGTTTGTGCTTTAGAGGTGGGCTGTTTGGCCAGAGGCCATTGTAGGCTTGAGTGGTTTATCTGAATGAGCTTCCGAGAGCTATGAACTTGGGTTCGAATCTCAACGTTTTACTGGTGGTAGGTATCACCTTAAGCAGTTGGCTCCCAGTGACTTTTCTGTGCCTTAGTTTTTCATTGAATAAAATGAAAACAGAACACACTTTGTTTTGCTATATGGATTAAATGTGATAGGAAAGTGGTTAGCTTAGTGCATAATAAGTGCTCAGCAAAATGTAGGTTGTTATTATTTTTGCAATTATTATTATTGGTTTGGTGTATGTCTAGAGGTGCTTGTTGGAGTGTAGAGTCTCAAATAAATCTGCTCATTTGGCTTGAGTCTGTACCCTTCTTTTTTTTTAAGATTTTATTTATTTTTTTAAGAGAGAGCAAGCAAGAGAGAGCCCGAGCTGGGGGGGAGGGGCAGAGAGAGAGGGATAAGCAGATTCTCCACTGAGCCAGGAGCCGGATGTGTGGATGTGGGGCTAGATCCCAGGACTCTGGGATCATGACCTGAGCCAAAGGCAGAGGCTTAACTGACTGAGCCACCCAGGCACCCCGAGTCTGTACCCTTCTGTGTCTCCTCTATAATGTTCAGTCCCTGTGGGAGCCCAGACAGTATCAAAATTTCCTGAGCTTGAACTGTATGTGGCAACTATTGTCACTTGGTTCCACTGAGGCTCAGCCGGAACCAGTTCCTAGCAGAGGAGATCTCTAACTGACAGTCCCCTAAACCAGGATGTTATGAAGAAGCAGTGACAAAGTGAAGAGGTAAGGGAGACTCTGATTTCATGTGTCTTTTATTTCACCACCACCCTTTTATTTCTATTACCTCTATGGGGCAACCCAACTGAATAAGTAATTCAGCTCAAACCACAAACTTGAGCCCAGCACAGTCCCAGGCTCTGAAATGCATGAGATCAACAAGACACTTAGGAGCTCACAATGTATAAGAACAGACAAACGGAATCACAAACACTCATACAGTTTTGTTTTTTTTGTTTTTTTGTTTTTTTGTAGAAAAACACTAACGAATACTATTAGTGATAGTTAAACTTTATTGAGTTGTTTCTTGTTGCCAGGCGCTGCTCTCAGCATTTTACATGGATTAACCCGGTCATCATAACGTAAGGGACTCTCCGTTGTAGAGCTAAGCTTTGGGGAGCAAAGTTAGCCCAGTTAGCTCACACTGACGTTAGTGCATAACCAGTGCCTGGCTTTCTGCACCAGTTTGGGCTGGTGATGCGCACGCCCACTTGTCAGAGAGTCCACAATCAGGAGAGAATTTAGCAATCATTTTCCAGGGACAGAAAATCCTAGCCCTGGGAGGACTGCTATCCACGGACACTGCAAGAAAGTCTTTGGGCGGCTGTGAAAAATGAGTTACCTTCTGATTTTTACCAACCTTTGTTTTTTGAATCTTCCTTTTAAGAGACAGAAATGGGCTTGAATGCGGCGTGGGTTCAGGTGAGCCTTTAATTATTTTCCTGCTGCGTCGGAGCTGCGCGTGCGTGCAGGAAGCTGTCCTCCTCTTCATTGGGAGAGCGCTCTCGCTAACCCGGACAGACGCGGGACCTTGAGCCACCCAGACCAGTTTCCTCTGGTTTAGCCAGCACCTCTCTTGTTCTGCTCTTGCTCAGAAATGAGTAATCTCTGCACCGTTTAGGGATGGGCTGAAACTATCTCCGGGGTGGGGGTGGAGGGAGTCAGCTACGGTGATTGCCTTGATGAATTTTAGCCCTGGGAAGACTGCTATTCCATTTCGGCCTCTCAGGAGAGTTTGCCCAAGTGCCCACCAAAGGAGTTGCGGGTCCGATGGCATGGACGTATCTTCGTGTTTCCCTGGCTGTGATAAAGTCAGGCTTTTTGTGTTTTGCTGTCGGGCTGGGGGCCGCTCAGAGAGGTGCTTCAGTGCCCATAATCACCAAGAGATCCCGGCTGGGTGGGGTGAAACCAGTTCTGTATGGTTCTTGAGGCTTCACACTTTAAACCCATTAGGTCAGATTTTGATTACATCGTGATTAATTTAATCTTCGTAATAGATACCAATAGCTGTAGGTGGTGAGAGTTTCCAAGTATAGAAAAGAGCCTCTTCTTTTTTCGTTATTTATCTTCCTTTCAGTAACACAAGACTTTAGCTTATTTCTATTAAAGGGAAGAAAGAGCATGCTGCATTCCTCTTTCATTGGGGCGGGTGCGGGTAATGCAAAGATATCTCTGGGGAACCGAATCAAGTAAGTTCAAATTGGGCCAAACGAGGAGCGCAAGGGAGTACTGGAAACTCCTTGTCCCTGAGGAAGTCCAGTGTATTTTAAGATTGCTGAGTCAGATTTGCCCTTATTGTAGCTTGCCTCTTCTCCCCCTCTCTAGTTACTCTCTGGTCCAAGCCACCAGCATCTCTCCTGACTGACTACCTGGCCTCCCTGTCCCCATTCTTAACCTACAGTCCCTTTTGACAGAACAGCCAACAATGAATTAAAAACTAAATCAGACCATAACCCTCTTTGCTTAAAAGTATCCAGAGGCTTCCCAGTCACCCTTAGAAGGAAACCCACATTCTTTACTGTGGCAGGAGAGACGAATTTGGTGTAGCATTCATTTCTTGACGCTGAGACCTTCTCTCTTACTCCTCTCCTCCTTTTCTGCTCAGCCACACTGGCCTCAGACTTGTTTAATGTGTTGCAGGCTCAGCACCTTTGTACTCCATGGGCCTCTGCCTAGAGCTGTCTGCTCCAGATTTGTATGTGGCCTGACACCTCTGCATTCAGATGACAGCTCAGACTCTCTAGCCAGGCTTCTTGAGGTGGACACCACCTACACCTTCCAACTCATTCTCAGTCTTGTTACTCTGCTTTATTTTCTTCATAGCACTTATGCTTGAAATTTTATTTACTAATATTTTATAATTAAAACATTAAACATTTAAATAATAAGTTAATGAATAATTATAACAATATAAAATTGTTATCTATGACATATTAGCTGTTATATTAATAATAATTAAAATATTTAATTGTTTAAATATTAAAATTATTTTAATTAAAATTTATTATTTTATTATTTACTTGTCTATTATTTATTGTGTTCCACTTTCCCCACCATGCCTAAGTCCCATGAATGCAGAGACCTTGCCCGTTTTATTTCCAGCGCCTGTGAGAGTGCCTGGTACACTCAATAAGTATTTGTTTAATAAATAAAGGAAGTTCAAGAAGAGTTGCCACATGCTTTCTTGCAGTGGGGGAGGAGGAGTCTGAGGCTGGCATTGGACATTTATTGATTTAACGTTCAATAAATGCAGTATTTACACTGCATTTTGCTAGGCACCAGTTACAACAGGGAACAGAACACACAGGTCTCTGCTCTTATGGGGCTTACATTCTATAAAAGAAACAAAATGAATACTGAGGAAGAGGACAACAGGGGGCGCCCACTTTAGAAAAATGAGTTCAGAAAAATGTTCTTTGAAGAGATGTCTTTTTCCTTGATACCTGAAGAATGGGCAGGCGGGGTGGAGGGGGAAAGTGTGTGCCAAACTTGAGGGAGGAAAAATCTTAGGTTGAAGAATAAGAGAAGTTTGGTTAAAGCAAGGGAACAAGAGAAAGTGGCAAGAGATACTACTGGGGAAATAGACAGCAGCTGTATTCAGGCAGGGCTTTGAAAGCCATGGGAATGAGCTTGGATTCATGCCAAGGGCAATGGGAACTCACTGGAAGGGATTAAGCATGGCAGGGATATGATCCATTGTATGTTTTAATATTACTCATGCTGTTGAGTGAGGGGTGGATTGGGTGGGGTACCCGTGAAAGAGGAGAGACACAATTAATTGCAAGGCTCTTACAACAGTTCATACTTGCTATTGACCACCAAAATAATGGTGGTAGCAGGGAAGGAGAAGTAACAAATTCAAGATATATTTTGGCAATGAAACTGGACTTTTTCCTAATTGTTTTGGGAGAGGAAAAACTCAGGATGGCAGATAGGTTTCTGGCTTGTTAAATTGGGATGATGTTATGCTATTTAATGCTACAGGTGCTGGAGGATTGTTTATTCATCTGAGTGATCATCTAAGTTCACCTCCCAGACCTCAAGGAGGGTTGCAATAAAATAATCAAAACAGATATATTTTGTTTTACTTTTTCAAAGTTAAACTTTTTCAAATAATTGTAGTTTCACATGTAGTTGTAAGAAAGAATACAGAATTCCCATATACCCTTTCCCCAGTTTCCCCCAATGGTAACATCTTGTAAAACTACAGTATAATATCACAGGATATTCACATCAGTAGTAAAGATACAGAACATTCCCATTGCCCAACAAGGATCCCTCATGTTGCCCTTGGATGGCCACACCTATTTCCCTCTTATCCTTACTGACTCCCAAACTGTGGCAACCACTAATCTTTCCTCCATTCCTATAATTTTGTCATTTAAAGAATGTAATATAAATGGAATTAGCTAGTATGTGTATTGGTCAGTGTTCTCCAGAGAAATAGGACCAATAGGATGTGTGTATATACATGAGAATATGAGAAAAAGATTTATTTTAAGGAAT